AGGTGCTTCATGTCACTCCCTTTCATTGGACAAACTGCGGCTTGGGTGCCAATAAGCTGGTCCTCCTCGACAAATGAACCTCATCGGGCAATCAGGATCCAGAGGGTGCCGAAGAAGAGATGCTAGTAGCGAACATTGCTCCGTTCGTAGCGATGCCCTTTGCTACTAGTAGCTTCTTGTTCCTAGTAGTACGGCCAGGAGCCCCTAGTAGCATCCTTGCTCCTAGTAAGGATTTGCACGCTTTGGCTTCAAGACCCTTCAACCTGGTGGCCATGGATGATGTAGGCCAAACCCCGCAACGGTGCATCACGGTCAGGAGCCCAATACAAATCCTCACAGACTCATGGCTCGGGTGAAACCAGGAAAGACTTTAAACCTAATAGCAATGGCCTCCAACCTAATAGCAATTGCCTCCAACCTAGTAATGGCCTCCACCCTAATAGCGATGGCCTCCACCCTAATAGCCACGGGAAAGACTTTCCAAGACTCTAGTAGCTTCTTCAAATCTCTTGAGACTCTCCATCTCAACTTCTTCAAATCCATGGTTCCTTGTCAAAGCGGGTGAAGGGCGGCTCTAGAAGGGTGTCACTGCCAGCAGTGAAAAGCCTTGGTTTCAAGTCCATTCGAGCAATGGCCTCCTTGTTTTGCACCCTTCCCCAACCCTCATCCACTTCCAAACATGTCCCAAACTCAAGTTTTCTACAGGATACAGTGTCTATTGTTTCATATTGCTTCCAGCTTTCCGTGTGCAGCCCAAATACGCAAAGCTCATGTCGCAGTTCTCGGCCCCAGCGGGGAAGCGCTCTGTCATGGACTTCACATGCACTCGGTCGCAGCCTTGGTCTCCTCACAGCGGTTTCTCGTGTCTGTGAGAAAGCAAAGCGGTCGTGACTGGAGTTTCATGGCGGTGAGATGTTGGCATAAAGCACCTCACACCTCAAAGGCGAGGACGTCTCCTGGGCATTTGGGGAGCTTTCGAAAGTGCAGCGGTTCCAACTTATCCATCAGCCAGGTCTGCAAAACCAGGCACTCATCGCTGTCGGGTAAATACCTCGCGGTCCGAGTCCAATGCTCTGAAGGCCAAGAGCCCCATTCGTAGCTTCCTTGCTCCTAGTAGCGATGCCCTTTGCTCCTAGTAGCGTCCTTGCTCCTAGTAGTAAGGCCAGGAGCCCCTAGTAGCCCGCTGATGTTGTTTTCAGGGTTGTTTTCAGGTTGTGGGCAAGGTCTTGCAGTTAGTCAAGGACAGGTAGTGAGGGCATGTGAGAGATGTGTTTGCACGTTTCAGAAGAGACCAGAAAGAGAAAGTGCACCGGCCTGTAGTCTAGCAAGTCGGATCTAAAGAGCGCGACTGATCCGGCTTTCAGCAGCAATCGACCAGGGCTTGCAGCCTGAAGGGTCCCATTCTTCAATTGAAATTGGAGTCTGCCGAAGGTGGAAGAAGAAAAGATCTCTGCCAAGCCTCAGGATTCTTCGGCTTGAGCTCGAGGATGCCCTGACCCTCCACTTTGTAGAAGAGGCAAAGCCTACGTGCCACAACCTCGCTGCAGAAGAAAAGACGGAGACCCAAATTTCAATTATCGACCCAAAAGCTTGTCTGGTTTCATGATTGATGCCAGCTCACTTGAAGCCAAATGTAGCTCGGTGTTGTGACTTCTACACCCATTTTGTCATACGTTCTAGTGTAACCAATGAGTTCTGCCGTGAGACCCACATCATGAACTCTTCGGCCATGAGCTTGTCCCGCTCGTCCATGGCTCCAGCTCGGCCCACCAGCGACACGCCCTCCGCCATGTGCGGAACCCTCAGGATGGTCCCCGTCTGGCTATACCTGATCCATGTGATCCACATGTGATCCACGTGCATCTGTTTCAAGTGATTGCTTTTGGTCCAAAAAAATGAGAATCCCGTCCACTGCGTGCAAAAACGACAAACTGGATGCCATTGGTTGTATTGGCCAAGTTTGGTGAGTTGATCCAGCCATGCGACACTGCACGGGAACCAAAGGCAGATGGACTGTTGGCCAGCAGCTCGGCTAAGGAGTTCAAGTGCTGATTAAACTCCTGGCAAGGGGCGGTGGGGAACATAACAAAATACTCAAATGTCACTCTCAGAAGGTCATGCTGCTTGTAAGGAACACGAAAGCTCTATCCTCTATGTGCTCAAGACCCCTCAAACGAATGAATGCCATCTTGTTGCTATTCTTTATGATGCTCTACATCGTTTGACCCTTGCGAGTTCAGGTTTGCCCGCGCACTGTCCTTCAATGCCGCAAGGTCTGGTGGGGCATTCCGCCGTTTCAGTTTGGGCTCCTTCCAGCTGGCGTCACTTCCCGAGAAAAGACAAGGAATGAACAGCGGAAAAAGAGAAGAAAATCCTCGAATCATTCAAAATCAAGGATTCTTTCCAAAGTGTTCCTTTTTGCCCTCCTCTGGAACCGCTTCAGCCTCAGACTCTGAGCCGTAGAGCTCTGGGTCGAACCAGCTGGATTCGGATTTGGTGTCTTCCAAGGCTGGATCCTCCTTTGGGTCCTCCAAAGCCTCGAGCAAAACATTCTCAAAGGAATCCACCAAAATCCTTCTCAACATCAAACCTTCTCCATTGCGGAAGTGAAACACGCTGAACCTTCCCGGACCTTCCCCACGTCTGATTCCCCATAGAGGTATCTAGCTGGGAGACAAACAGCTAACTAGCAAGAAAGATTTGACCGGTAAAAACATGTAAAAAGTTCTGTCTCCTCCTGGTCAGTCTCCGCTTGGGTCTCCTCCAAACGAAGCTCCTGGACTTCGTGAAATCGGCGCGATCGAGCGGCACCGACCATGAGGAGCACGGGCAGTCCTTGATCCGTGTCATGTTTTCCGAGCCGAGGTAGGCTTCCTCTGTCTCGGCCCGTAGCCAACCTACGTCCTGGAGACAAGTAGGACGTAGGTATTCATTTGGTTGTCAGACATTGGTCATATCGTCACATCGAGTCATGGCAAGGGTAGAAGTCATTCTTCCCAGTTTTACATAGAGCTCCTGCAGTTTCTCAGCATTTTCTCGAGCTTCCTCCGCTCGAGCTGGCTGCGGAGGCCGCTGAAGCAGGCAGTATCCTCGCGCCACGAGGGCCTGAAAGTGAAAGTGAGTAAAGCTGGTTGGGTGGAAAGGGCAGAAAGCCTCCAGTCGGAAAAAAAACAAACAAACTACAAAAAATCCATTAGGTATCGATGTTTTTATTCAAGAAAGAGAAAAACAAAAAATGAAAGGTCTATAGAAAAAGTCTCAAGACCAAAATAGAACAAGCTGCTATAGATTTTTTAATCAATGCTTTGAGCCTACCCTTCGCTTCGGGCCTCACACATGGAGTTCAAGATGTCCATGGCCTCGCAAACCAACTGAAACCGGGTTGGAGGCCCTATAAGGTTGGAGGCCATCGCTATTGGGTTGGAGGCCATCACTGTTAGGTTGGAGGCCATCGCTATTAGGTTGGAGACCATCGCTTTAGGTTGGAGGCCATCGCTATTACGTTGGAGACCATCGCTTTAGGTTGGAGGCCAACACTGTCAGGTTGGAGGCCATCGCTAGTAGGTTGGTGGCCATCGCTATTGGGTTGGAGGCCATCACTGTTGGGTTG